CTCCATCCTGGGGAACACCGATCGGGGTATCCTCTCACCTGCTCTATCCTGGGGAACACTGATTGGGGAATCCTCTCACCTGTTCTATCCTGGGGAACACCAATCATGGTACCCCCCCCCACCCCAACGAGAGCAGCAGAAACCAAATTTTGACAATTCATATATATTAAAGACATTTCAGTGCAAAGGGTATCTGACTGCTAACTAGGTAGGTTGTATCTGTTTCACAAGCAAAGAGGTGAAATATTAAATCTAGTGTAAATAAGTGTAATGTAAATAACCATAAGGACAATGTCGCCTATATGGTGTGCCGGCCATGCCCGGGAACACACTGTTGCACTGTCCTCTCATCTAACCCGGGGCAAATCGATCAGTACTGATCTCTGCAGCCTTCTGCTGCCTCCTACTATTACAGGTTTACCAAGTGACGGGCTAAGATTACTGAACAAATGCTGTTTTTAAGCTGGTTAAATATACTGTATGCACACAAATGCATGAGTATTTATTTGCACAGCCATTACTTTCATTCAATTAAATGAAACACTACAAATTTCTGGGCTTTTGTTCAACAAAACTGCAGGAATAAATGTATTGAATTATGCATTTTCTCTCTCTAAGTGAGGGTTCTTTGGCTGTCATTACATTAGTGACCCCCAAACTACATCAGAGCAGGGCCGGGGGCCTCGTGCCTCTAATTCATGAGAAAGAGTTTTTCAACCCTTGTGCAAACCGGACAATAATACTGACATTTCGTCAATTCACAAGATATCCCTATGGACCCCCCGACACCCCTCTCCAGTAACTGTTTCACCGGAAGCCCTAAAAATTACTTGTAACTCAAACGATCCATGTTAAATTCATGCTGTATAGTTGTTGCCCTTCTATGTTTGATCCTGGCTGATATTAACTTTGCTTACTGCGTGGGTGTATCTGTTGCTCTTGTTTCGCTCCGTTCTATTGCCTTTTTGGAAAACAAAGTAGTTCTGTTTTCACAGAACCACAAAAAAAAACAAAAGAATACAAAAAAGTATTGATCACAGAGTTTCACAGTATACATTATCCTGCTACTTGAAAATGCATTTTAATGTAATGCAGAACATAGATATATATCTCTTCCTCAGTGCATTCAAATATTTATATGCACTGTGTCAGAGTAAATTTGACTGAACTACGTAAACCATGGAGGGAGACTTTGAGGTTCCATTTGGTCTTTCTCTCTATGAAGTTATTTTCTGCTTGGCTTGCTGTGGTCCACAGAAGTCCACAGAGCATACATCAGATCTTTCGAGTGAACTTCTTGGAGAGATTTAAGTTCTATTTCAACAAGCAGGGTTCTTGTTGGTCAGACCGGAGTTCTCTCTCTGGGCTGTGAGTGCTACGGCTGGCAGAACCTGATGCAATTCCTCTGCATGCTCTCAACACCAGGGGACTCTTGAAGACAAGCACAGGGGCCACACGAGTGTCTGAAGGGGGGCATGAGGATGTTTTTACAAGGTCTGCTCTCCTCGGCAAAGTCATCGCACAGGCCTGACACGTAGTCTCCCTGGAACAGTTAAACAACGCCTGTCAGGCAGTCTACCAATTCCTCCAGCTGCATGTGAGGTTTGTCCTAGCACCCGCGAGAGCATAAGACCCACGAACAACATCTCTGCACCTGATATAATTAAGCAGACTTATTGTTCATTTATCGCTATCATTCTGCGGCCGCAGAACAGGCCAAGCACGTGGGTCATGTGTCAGTGCAAACTCCACTCTCCACATATTTGGCACCGTTGATGTCAAAAAGCATTGATTCCCCGTGTCCCTAGACGAGTGTTCAAACATCATACAGCACATTGACCCTGGGCGATTTCGTAAGGTTGCTTCGTAGAACCCTGACGGCCCGAAGGACATCTACATATTTGCAGTAATCTCATTATTAACCTTCAATTCTTGAGGCCGATACATCAAGAACTTACATCTTTCATAAAGTTTCTCAACCACGCACTTTTCATGACTTCGAGTTGCATGTGACGATGCCTTTTCCTTCAGCACAAGACCTGTAACATCAAGTAGTTAATGATTAACAGATTGCTAAAATAACAAAGGACCAGTTCAATTAATTTATAAATAGCATGCACTAAGTGAAGCCCTGCCACACTAATATCACTAAATTAGCAGTAAAATATGGCTAATTAGTTCACATTCTGCAAAAGTGCAAGGACATTTTGCCAAGTTGTTAATGGACAGTAAAATGTAACACTTAGTGCTACATGAAGATGGATAGCTATATAAAAGCACATACACTGATCTATGATGCATGATCTAAATTAATTATAGCTGTATCTCTTTTCAGAGCAAACTAAAGTAATTATATAAAATTACCCAATTCAAAAATGGGTCAAGACTCGCCGTAATGGTTTACATAGCAACAAAAGCTTCTTTTTTTGTCACTACAAAGCAAATTATGTTTTAATCAAATGGCTCCAAAGGTCAAGTGAGTTTCCATACAGTTATGCACTTAAATGTCATTTCTTGTTAGCTATTTTTCTGACTATTGACAATATTCTCATCTTTTTTGGGACGTTATTTTGCATAATTATTTTAAGCATTGACCATATTGCACTGCATGTATGAATGTCCCATGCAATTTAAAACATGGTTGTAGTTGATTTTCTTCTTATATTTAACAAACTGCTTCAAAACATTCAAGTATTCCAAAACGTTATTCAATCACTCCTGCATTTTAGCAAGAATGGAAGGTGGAGATTTATATTCAAGTCCCAATGAAGCGATTTAGGTTTTGTAGTGAATGTTTAGTAATGGAGCAAATTTTGTACGTTGGAAACACATTTCCACCCATTCATCTTCCCACCACTTACCTTGGACATAGTTTCAGGAAAAGCTGGACTCAATCCCAGCTGGCATTGTGCACAAGGCAGGGTACACCCTGGATGGGATGCCAGTCCATCACAGGGCACTTGCATGCACACAGTCATACAGACAACTAAGACACACCAAATAGCCTAACTGCATGTCTTTGGACTGCAGGAAGAACAGGGTGACATGGAGGGAACATGCAAACTCTACCCGTGTGGTATGGAGGCTGAATTTATATTTCAGTGCTGGAAGTGTGCAGTGACAGCTAGCCAGTGAGTCACTGGACTGGCAGTGAGCCATACTCAGGTACTGTGTGAGTTACTGTTATCAAAATACAGAGGGCAAGAGTTAAATAAATGTGTTTGTAAATGTCATGTTACTTTCATCTACATTTTCTTGTAGATAGCAATGATTTAAATGCTTGATATGAATTCAGTATAAATGGTCTTGAAAAATTATTTCTCATTTTCAGTCTATTACCAATAAATGCAATTAAATTCGCTGAAGATTGAAAAGTCCACTGTGTCTGTTTGCTAACAAACTAAAGAAAGACTTATGAAATATTATCATATTCAGTGAAGAATGACAAACACAAATGGCTTTGTAACTCAGTTTTGATTATTTTGGTTAGTCTGAATGCATACGAATTGGCTAAAAGCAAAGCAGAATTTATTATCACTTTTATTAATAAATTAAAAACCATCCATTTTGTGCGTTTCCTTGGAAAGATTCACATTCTCACTGCAGTGATTCACAGGTCATGTGGACACTCACCCTAATTTGATTGGATTATCTAAATTAGGTATTTAAACATATTTGTTTTTAAGGTAAAATCAGGAAACTTAGAAGATGGACTTCACCACCAGGTCTGATGTACGCTGTTATAACTCGCAGTGACAAGACAGCGAGTTGAGGGTGAAGCATTCGGAAGGTGGTAACCTGGTTAATGTTTACTGAGGTTATGCTGTGGTGGGGAGTATGTGGACTGGGGGTGTCAGCATTTGGGAGAGTACAAAAGGGCAGCCTTTCTTTCAGCAGGTCCTCCATCTGGAAGATCTCCTACATGGTAAGCAGAAAATCTGTCATATCTCAGGGTCATTCAGGACAATATGAAGTGAAATTATTACATGTAATGCTGCCAAGCGTTATTAATGTTACATTTTATTGCTTTCAGCATTCCTTTTAGATACAATGTTTCTTTGGCTTAAATATTCTTTTAGAATGCAGATCCAACTGCATTATCCTGGTCATGACTGTGTCAGGGAGGTGGGCTTCCTGGAGCCTGCCCCAGGCAGCATAGGGAACAAAGCAGGGGTACACTTTTGATAAGATGCCTGTCCACCACAGCAGAGGTGGGATTTGAACCCACCACGCTGTGGAAGTACAAGTCACCATGCCACTCAGAAAGTTGGGATGTTTAAGTTATTTATTTACTGACTTCTACAGTTGAGTTCTGAAATTCTTCACCATACATTACTAAAAATGCACTAGTTTCAAAATATAAGCAGCCAGTAAGCTGAAAACTAACCAATCAATCATTAATAAAACACAAAAACGTTTGATGAGATGTGGTGGAGATTTTATAATTTCATTGCATCCTCTTCGATTAACAGTTTAATTATGACTCTATAATATGACTCTGTAACAGGGGAAACAAAAGCATTTTTAATAAGGCAGTCCCAATTTCCCCACAATCTCATTTCAATAGCCAAGGACGCCAATATGTTTACTTCCACATTCAATATAACACGCTCAAACTTCAGTGCATGGGATATGTGTTTGGCAGCTGCATTGAAGCAGGTTTATTTATTTTATTTGATATTTTCTGTCATTATCACACAATAAACTCTTTATGCATGCAGTAAAAACATTAAGATCTTATTCTCAACAATAAAACGCAGTTACTTGAAAAACTAGGTAATGTGTTCATTGTGCTGTGCTTATTTAAGCAACACAGTCCTTTGGTTTGAAGGGAGATGTCAGACATCTCTAAAATGACAAATAACATTATTGAACAACTGACTGTTTATGGTTGGCACACATGGATTTTGCAGTCGTCGGCCGGGACTGATTTATTCATTTTTCCTTTACAGATTGAAATGAAGGGCTACCTTTGCCTAATTGCCTCCCTCCTTCTCTCAGGGGTGTGTGCAACCCCTGTAAGCAAGGACGAACATTCTGCAGAACACCACGACCATCTCCACCACGACAATGACCAGCCTCATGTCCACAATGAGGCACATGAGGCAGCTGTACAGCTGCTTTCCCCACACAATGCTAACTTTGCCTTTGCCCTCTACAGGCATCTAAGCACCCATAAAAATGATTCCAAGCCTGAAAATGTGTTCTTCTCCCCACTGGGTATCTCCAGTGCCCTGTCCATGTTGGCCGTAGGCGCCAAGGGCATCACCCATGAGGAGCTGTTCCATACCCTCGGCTACTGCGATCTCACTCAGGCCAAGGTCAACGAAGCCTTCGAGCACGTGTTTCACTCACTGGGCCACAGCCAAGGGGAGCTGCAGCTGGATTTCGGAAATGCAGCCGTCGTGCAGGAAAACTTCAAGCCTCTAGCCAAGTTCTTGGAAGACCTCAAGCACTATTATCATTCTGAGGGCTTCACCGTCGACTTCACCAACTCAGAAGAGGCAGCTAAGGTGATTAACGATTTCATCGCAAAGAAGACCGATAACAAGATTACCGATATGGTGAAGAAATTGGATGAGGACACAGTTATGATGCTCATCAACTACATCTTCTTCCGAGGTATGTTTATTTGGAAATGTTTTACATTAACTGTACCTTTAAAATGCATTCATAGAACATTCATAAGCTGCATCATTATGAAGGGGCACTGAATGTTCTATGAATGCATTATAAAGGCATTATGAAGGTACAATTAATGTAAAGTGCTACTGTAAAAATCGAAACCCTACACTGATTGCTTTACATTAAACAATATTAAAGCAAAATGTAAGCAAAGTCTCAATGCTTTGCAACAGTCAGATAATGTGCCATTTCGTTTTTCAGGAAAATGGGAAAAACCCTTTGACCCAGAATACACCAAAAAAGCTGACTTCCATGTAGATGAGAACACCACGGTTTCTGTTGACATGATGAAGAAGTCGGGACGTTTTAGCTACTTTTACGACAATGATAACAAGACTGCAGTGGTGGTGCTTCCTTATCAAGGCAAAGCCTCCATGATGATCGTTCTGCCCAACGAAGGCAAAATGAAGGAGCTGGAAGAAACCATCAGCAAAGATGACATTAGACGGTGGCACAACTCTTTGTTTAAGAAGTGAGGTCTCTCTTATATTCATTATACACCCTGAAAAACATTAAAATTCCCACTGTATCTATCAACCGTTATGGAGGACTGAGTGGGAATGAAAAAACTTTTCTGGTAGTATGCCAAAATACCATGTGCAGGGAATACAGAAACATGTTTCACGCTGTTCTTCTATAAACTTCCAGCTCCTTGGACCTCTACCTGCCGAAGTTCTCTGCTTCTGCGACTTACAGCTTGTCCAGCATCTTTAAAGGGATGGGACTGCGCACCGTTTTCTCTCACTCTGCCGACCTTTCCGGGATCTCAGAGGAGGTCGGTCTGAAGGTGTCTGAGGTATGCTTGCTGCTTCCGTAAAATTACTGACGCTTAAACTGCTGCACATTTGATAACTGAGTGGCCATAGCATTTGGGACATAAAAAGGGCTGCCGATTCTCACGCATCTGGCGTGACACTCACACACTTTCTGAATGTCAGGCACCTGCAAGGAATCTTACGGCAAATTTATGCTATTCCATTATAAAACTAAAATTAGCTGCATCAAAAGCATTGGGGTAGTTTGCAAACCCTACACACTATTTCAAAGTTAATAAAACGAATACATACATGCAAATGAGTGTGCAGACTTGTCTGGAAATGAAAATCTCACACCAGCCAGCTGACCAAAGTTGGCGAGACTAGATATAATGCCAATTGTTGTGTCTGCCTGGTAGATTTCCCACAAAGCGATCCTCAGTGTGGATGAGAAAGGCACAGAAGCTGCTGCCGTCACCACCGTGGAAATCATGCCCATGTCTTTGCCTTGGCCCATGAAGTTTGACCGACCCTTCCTGCTGTTCATCCTGGAGGAATCTACAAAGAGCATTCTGTTCATGGGGAAGATCACAGACCCTACAGCCCAGTGATAGGTTGTACTTTATCAAATGAAGTTTCTACAGGATACCTTCTTAGCATCGCATTAAAGTTTTGCAAAAAAAAAAACTCATCCTCACAAAACCCTTCATCCTGGCCAAAATCCTCTCTGGAAACACTACTTTGGAGCAATGAAAATTGAATACAGAAATGTTTTATTATTTAATTTGTTTTCATTCATACCTGATCAGGTCCTTTTTGTTATAATTTTTTTTTTTTTAGGTTTTTGTAAATTGTTAACCGTTGTCCCTTAAATGATGCCATATTATGCAATAAAACAAACAGCAAAAATAAATGTCCATTGTTTTATTCCAAAACCCAGAGAAAGTGCTGGTTTGTTGGCATAACTGGTATATTTATTGACTGATAAACAAAAACACTGTGAAGATTAAGGTCAATTATTTAATTAGCCCAAAATCTATACGAATAAAACACTCATTTGGTTTATATTCCGCATTCAATCTCAACATTGACAGTCAGCTGTTCTGCTTCTGTTGAAGGAATGCAGTAGTTTAAAAATTAGCCTTCAATGCAATCATGAAGAAATGGGCAGGAGTTAAATCTTAGTTAATAACTCTCTGTGAATTGCAAATAAGGGACCTAATACCTTTAGAAAAGTTAAGATTTATAATAAAAGGTGAATTGGAACAATTTAAGACCTCTGGGACCACTACTGCAGGCTAGAACTGCCTCTTAAGCCTTTAAACATCTTGCAATAGTACTAAAAACGTCTTGCCCTTTATGGTAAATTCTAATACAGCTGCTGATGGAGCCCCCACACCCCCCCTCCTTTGTGTGTCTGCATTATTATTCTCTTGTTTGATAACTGTAATAAAGACAATGGTAAAAAACAGCGTGCATATGCTTTCGATAACTGCTACTGAGGTAATGAAGAGTGTGGCAGTATCTCCCGCCTGAAATTTCCTGTGCACCACACTCTGTTATTGACCGTGCAATTGTTTTCAGGAGCCTGTATCACTGGTGAGGTGGAGTAGCGATTTCTCCTGGACAGAAAGTTGAGGGAGGGAAAAAAAAAATTGAAATACGTCTCAAGAGTGTGAGAGTGTTTTAGTCATTTGAACTGCACGTGTGTTTATAAAGAACCTCGACATTTACAATGATGTAGAATATTTCACAAGTCATAACACTATCATTAGTGATCGATGAAAACAGCATCTAATCTAATTTAGTTTCCCTAAGCATACTTCAATAGATTTCCATACAAAATGATTTCATAAATGAGCATACTACTAAGCTGTTTCCTCGCTACTTTACTGGGTGGTGCTGTCATATAGGATTCGCCATAAGGAGTGAAAAGTGTTCTCTTGCCATTTGTCTTCCAAGAATTTCTGACATCAATATACAACATGTGTACTCAACCAAGAAGCAAGGTCGCACATTTGAGATCGCTGGCCAAAAAAAGAGGGTTTCTAAACTTAACTAACATAGACTGCTTTTCAAAAGCTCATTGATCAAAATACTGATTCTATTTACAGTCCTTATCTTCTCTTGAAAAGCAATCAAAGTGCACCACCCACGGTACCATGAGAGGTCACCCAAAACCATTATTTTCCTCAAAAAATAATAGTCAAGTAAGCAAAGGACACATTACGATCATGATTTAAAGCTTTAAAGTTTTTACAGTTCATTACGCTGCTTTCCTTCATTCCAGTGACAGGTTACTAACTTTCCCACAGCAAGAGTCAACACTGAAAACTGTAACACTGACTTGTGGAAGCTACTGACCAGCTATCATGGGGTGGGCAGGTCTCCTGCCAGGGGGGTTCAGAGACAATACTACATGTCAGTTAATGAGAGATACTATGTTGCGTTTGGATAGGACTGATACGGATTGGTGGTGTTTATAACTTTTACAGTGCAGTGTTTTCGCTGGTAACATTTCTCTGTGGCGGATCGCCACAGCAAAAAAAAAAAAACAATGAATCATCTAATCCAGCCCCTGTGATTCCGCTGCCTACTGTATACTGCCCGTGCACACATTATGGAATTTAGCTGGTAAACGGCAATAATAGGCTGCACTACACTGATATTTAGCAGATGCTCTTATAAAGCTTTAACGAAATGAGCTTTGCTTAGGTATTTTCCAAAGAAAAGAAAAACAAACGAGGTATGTTAACAGAGCAGGCATTTAGTTAGATGGTGTTGGGGGGATGCATATCTCTCTCCTCGCTCTCTTAACCGCCCCCCCCCCCACACACACACACTGAAAGCCGTTTATATATCGCAATTTTACCGATGTGGTTTGGGAATTGGAGCAAAACAGTGAAAGTCTAACTGTTAATCTACCCCGTGGGGACCTAGTAACATTAGCAGTAACTTTTGGGCACGGCTGCAGTGTGAATGCGAAACTGTAACAGATTACTTTGTTCAAGGGGGTTTGGGGGCTTCTCACCCTTTATTCACTATATCAATATTGGCTGGGAGTAGCTACAGGGCACCCCTTACCTTACCGTTATGGAGGACTGAGTGGGAATGAAAATGTATCTATCAACCGTTATGGAGGACTGAGTGGGAATGAAAATGTATCTATCAACCGTTATGGAGGACTGAGTGGGAATGAAAATGTATCTATCCCATGTTGTTTTTACCTGACACATTAATGTAAGGGGGTCACACACCGGGGGAGACACAAACTAGCCTACATGGATTCATATAATTGTTTACCTGCATCGACAGAGAGGGATCATGGCATCACTATACAATATTACAATATATTGATAATAATAATAATAATAATAATAATAAGTTTCTTTTCCATTAGTGACCCCCCCCCCCCACTACAAGGCATTTTTTTTTACTGTTGGTTCAAAGTTTAAGTTTGAGATAAAAGTGCAAACCAATGGTAAAATTATTCCGTAAAAAATAGGTACATTTGTTAGCAATATGAATATATCCATCCATCCATCCATCCATCCATCTCTTAAGAATTCATCCGGAATTCATACTGGACAAAACTGACAGTATAATGCACAAAACTGTGATTTACCTAGGGTAGCATGAATATGGATACACAGATGCATTATTACTGTTATTATTTGTAGTAATGTTGGTAACAGTAATCGGTAGCAGTAAAGGAAACAACGTTAAATATGTTCTCACTGCTCTTTTCGGAAAATATCAATGATGAGTATCAGCCTGAAATGTGCTGCTATCCGACTGTTACTTTGTTTCTTAGCCAGCTAGTGTTTATCAGCCTTCATCTTATAACATTATGTCAGGCCCCATCCATTCTGCCCTGGACATTATCATGTTCATTCTAATGTGAATGTGCTGTCAAAGGCACAGACTGCGGACGGACTTGTTAAATATAGCCGCCCTCAAAGCCCAACTTGTTGGCTAGCTTCCCCTCCATCCCCTCAGCACGGTCTCATATCTTCAGACACATGTCATAACGATAATGCACAATCAGCCGCAGGGCCGCCTTGTAAGCAGCTAGCGGCTGGGTTGCACTTCGCAGCCTGTCAAAGTCATGAAATTGAGACCTACCTTAAACTGTGGAAGTAGGGAAGTGGTTCTCTTTGGAGTAGAGGAAGTAATTCCGGACTTCCTTTGGTTCTTACATAGATTATGGTTTCAGACTTTAGCTATTTATAATAACGATTGATATATACTTGTGTAAAAAAAAAAAAACTAAAAAAAAAATATATATATATATATATATATATATATATATATATATATAAACACACACACACACATGAACACACACAGTGGTACCTCAGTACTGAAACTCATTAGAACTCAAATTTCTTAAAAGTCGAACCAACCAGTTTAGAAAAAAAAAATGACCTAGAACTCGATCTGAATCTCAGAAGTCGAACCGTGAATGGCGATCTGAGATAACTTGTATGAGCAGGGAAATGAGTCACGCGGCACGTCTCTCAGCGGAAACAAAGGGTAACGCTTCAGTCTCAGCCTCGCATTCGCTGTGATAGCATCGTGCATGTTTACACTAGTTAAATACATATATTTAGACAGTAAAAATACATTTAGACAATGATAGACAGTAACAGTAATTATTATTATATAATAAAATGCATTTAAAAATAAAGATTTCTTATTATTTTAATATCATTAATAATAAACCATTAATACATTTAATTATAATAATATTGTCATGCTGAGCAGAGACAAAGGCGCAGACGTCAGGGTATCGGGGAGTACGGGGTTTAATTACAGGTAAGGCAGGCAAAACGCAGACGGACAATACAATGACCGGACTAGGGAAACAAACTGAAACGCGGACTAAATACAGAGGACTAATGACAACAAGCAGAAACAGCTGATCACACGGGGATTCCACACGGGGTTAACGAGGGGGCGTGGCACACGGAAGGAGCGGACGATCGGGGCAGGACACATTGTTTGGATACATTTATTTTCTTACTTTACAAATTACTGTTTTGATAAATGTGCTTAGATGTGTTTAGTATAGTATATGATCTTCTTATTTTATCCGGTTCATTTTCTGTTTAAATGCTAAAAAAAACATATTTAGGTGTAATTTTTTGGGGCCGGGAATCAATTAATTGGTTTTCCATTATTTCTTATGGGGAAAATTCGATCAGAACTCAAACTTTTTAGGATTCGAACCCGAGTTCTGAACGGATCAAGTTCAAATTCTGAGGTACCACTGTATATATGTATATGGTTTATCTATATATTTCAAATCATTCATGATTTATTAGTAATAAATCCAGCCCCCTTGCATTAAGTCTGGCCTTGGATGAATCCAAACTTTGGCCATCTTATGGTGCCATGGTGATACTCATCAGCTTATTTGTTTTGGTGATTGCAAGACTGGGCTGAAATTGTGAGGAAGAGGAGGACATCACCAAGGAGCAGGACCCAGGAGTTAGAAAGGGTGTTTATCTCAGAATATCCCAGCGTTGAGAGCAGTGAGCAGTTTTGTTGATATATGTGACCAGACAGGGGTTGAACACTCCCAACTGGAAGGGAAATGGAATTGAAAAAGTGAGGGGCATCATCTCAGAGTTATATGGCTGTGAGGAATTTGAGAATTTACACCTACCAGTGGGGAGGGGTGCAGGAGGATTGTCCTTTGGAAGAAAACATTGGCTTGAATTAATTGTTTGTTGGCAGGTCTAGGTCATTTTCTGACCTAGACTGCAGGCCCCATCTGCAGCCACTGATATCTTACATCCTTTCAGTAGGTCCCTTCCTTCAGCTGCAGGCACAGTGTAATGCCTGGGGATGGGGCAGTGAGAGGGAATTACAGAGATCTCAGGCCTCCAC